TTTTGGCACACAGCACTTCTTATGTATAATGCAATGATATTTTTGTATGGGATGATTTAAAGAATTTTCAAGCAAAGTGTCATTGATTTTCTTTATTATTGATAGCACTCCATGAGTACATTTTCGAGATATGATTTTACTTCTTCAAATATATCTTTTCCTCTTGTTTTACCATGCAGTGACTCCAGACTGGCAGGTTCTTCAAAGGTATTAAAATTATTAATTCCTGTAATAAAAATGTTTAAGTATGTAACATCAGATATGTCTGTTGATTTGTCCACAGCTAGAGAAAAGAAAGTACAAGAATAGATAATGCCTTCCAATTGCTGGAATACATCATGAGAGTGTTCCTTAATACGCCTCATAACTGGATGTTGTGATATAGCAGTCTTGTTTGCATTCCTTTTAATATCAAGATGGTGCAAAGATATTTGAAGACAAAAATTTCTTCTCTGTCAGAAAAATGTTTCTTTTCTTTTGCCAATACTAAAGCAGTTTCATATGATGTTTCTGTCATTGCACACTTCACAACTTAAGCAAATATATTTTGTTTTATGATTTCTTCATTTTTCTTAATCACATGTATTATTCGCAACTCGGATCCAAGAACAAACTTCATTTTCCTTCTATGTAAGTCTGTATGCTGTGTTTTATAGTCTCTCTTAAGGTCATGTCTTCTATTATATGAAATATGAATCTATTATATGAAATAAGGCAAAACGGTTTTTCTTATAATTGTTTTATAAATAACAACTCATTTACCCATTGTCTATTAAATTCATGCTTATTATTTGCACTATAAATATATAGAAAAACACACACACAGAAAAGTGCAAAACTTTAAAAAATGTTGAAAAAAGAAAAAGAGGTCACAGTTATCTGGTTTATAACGAAAGTCTTCAACCAAAAAAACATTTTTAATAAAGTTAGGGGAGGAGGGAAACATGAAAGCAGTACCATAGTGCTGGTAGTAATCACCACCCAAATCTATGATTTTCTGTCACCATTTTGGCAGTTTTTTAAAGCCTTCGGCCCAGAAACTTGGTGGCCATGAGTCCAAAAACAGATCAACCTCATTTGAGATGTCCTGCGCAGAATGGAAAAAGCACCAGCAAGATGTAGCGATAGGTGCGAAAAACGATAGAAGTCAGAAGGAGTGATGTTAGGGCTATATGGTGGGTGTGGCAAAAGATCCCATTTGAGTCCGTACAGAGTCCAGCTGGTGAATGCAGAGACACATGTGGTCTTGCATTATCTTGATGGAACATTACCTTTTTGCACCAAAACTCAGTTCCACGTTTTCCCTTGATAGCAGCGTCAGCACGGACTAGCATCTTGCTGTACACCTTACTTTCGAGGGTTTTACCTTTTTCCAGATGCTCTTTGTGGATAATATCACGGTAATCCCACCAGATACAAAGAATTATCTTTTTTGTTTGTCGAATTGCATTTGCTGTGCTGCCAATGGGCTCACTGGGCACAGACCAACTACTTTTTTTCCTGTGTTGTTGAAATAAATTCACTTTTCATCACAAGTGATGATCCGGTCCAGAATTTTGTCCTTGCATTGATATTCGAGCAGATTAGAACAGTCGAGTTTATGTGATGCATAGTGCAACTAATTACTAGTTTATGTGATGCATACTAACATCTAACTCCATAGCAAGCTCTCGAGTAGTTGCATACGGATCTTCTTCCACAAGTTCTCACAGGCGGGCCTCATTGACATCAGTAGCCTGGCCTTCTTGAATATCCTAATATTTTATTTTAAACTTTCATTACAAAACCTTCTCAGTGTCATACTGTATAATGTTAGTACCTAAAGCTGTGCACATGATTTGGTGATATTCTGTAGCTGACCTTTTGTAACAAAACTGGAAGTAAATGATGGTTCTAATCTGGTAGCGTGAGTGTTCCATTTCAGGCACCTTAATGATATTTTTGTACAAATTTCACAACACAGTGTTCCAAAGTGAGTCTTTCTTTTAAATGTCAAAAGTCATTTGACAAAATATGATTAAACACGCTAATGCAGCTTGTTTGCGTAGACAGTATTTGTGGTGGCAGGGAAACTTTTGTTAAAACCTGATACATACATCATATCACATAAATGCTGTCACAAAAACTCTGCTTCAAAATTCCACATCACAGTGGCTCACTAAGAACTGATTGAAGCGGCATTTGTAATCATCCAGTGTGCAACGGTTTGTTTGGCCGTGTCTGACCTGGTTGTTGATGATTATGGATCTTAGTGCATAAAGATGATATCTGCAATCATTGCACACATTTGCATTTTATTTCTTGACAGTAAGTTGTCAAGAAATTTGACAGTTTCTTAACAGTCTTGACTGAAATCTCCAGACACACACATCTCTAAACTGAAGCTGTTCTTTAAAATTTTTACCCTTTTTATGGCCTTTTTATTGCAAATAAGAAAAATAGGGACAGCAAGCCAAGATTTTCAGATTATATTCTATTGATTAGTTAAGTCCACAAATTCTGATATTATTGTAGGCTGAAGTATTATGTAAGTATCTGCATCATTAGCAGTATGTATAAATCATATCACTGATTAATTTTGAAAGAAAGCTGTTTGGATAGATTTAATATAGGCAGTTTTTATTTTTAGGGCAGAAATGAGAAAGAAATAACCAAATTAGGAGATTTTAGGAAATGTTGCAAATAGAAGTTTTTTTTTTTTTTTTTTAAATCTAAACACACTGAGATACATATATATGTAGCCCATGTTTTGGACTCGATCTGCTCAAAATAATAATCTTCTTAAAATTTCTGTTCCTGGATGCTATAATTTTGCAACTTTTTACACTCCTTACTTTGGTCTGTAGGGGTTGGGTTTTTAAAGACACAAATTATTTGTAATTGTTTTCTGAGATTATTTTAATGGTTCAAAAACAGGCAGATTTATTTACTTCTTTCACTGCACCAACCTTTTGATGACGATGCAATAAAAGATGTAAATCTTGTATTTAATCTTAGATTTTTTAATTTAATCTTGTTAATTTTTGGTTTTGAAATATTTTGCCCCCTTTTTCTTGCAGTTTGCCAGTGTGCTTCTGATTTTTTGGTTTTTGCAGAAGTTTATTCTGAATTGAATATGGGTTGAATTTTGAACAGATAATTTATTTTAATTTGCTTTGCATTGTGTGTGTGTGTAAATTTGATATTTTCTTATGTTACAGCAGTATGTTTTATATTGAACTGATATATATATATACACTGCTGGAAAAATGTTAAGAACAGACAACCAACACTTTCATCCACAGCAATTACAAAATGAAGGAAAATATGGTAAATTATAATAATTGCAATATAAATTAAGAAAGGATATGAATTTTCATTTTCTCGCTTGTTCATCATGTGATAGCCATGATAAAAGTATTAAAAAGATCTGATGTGTGTGGTTAGTGTACCAAGTGAAAGTTTTACAAAAATGATTTAATTGGCCATCTTGAAAGTTTCATTGCTATGTTTTCCGACATCACTTAGATGATTTTACACTTGGCCGTGTCATTAGAAAGGTCTAATAGGGGCAAAATTAACAGATCTTGCCAAGAGTTCAACATCACTCTCAATGCTTTTTATGGTTGTGAAAAGCATTCAAAGCAATGCTGAATATGTAGCCAGCACCATGGAGGTCATGTTAGATATATAGTGTCTACAGAAGGCAATTACATCATCCCGTTCGCAAAAGAGGACCAGTATATCAGAGCTCAGCATGTGGTGAATAAAATTTTTGCTATGTCAGGCCAGTTTATCTCCCAAAAAACTGTAGCTGGACATTTGGGAGAAGAAGGCCTGTATGCCTGCAAACTGTTGTATGTGTCCCTTACAGCATCATACCTCCCATTTGCAATGGTGTCTCTTTATCATTACAGTTGGGTTGAACAGGACTGGTCAGATGAGAGCAAGTTCAATCTGTCATCAGATTGTAGACACTGACTGATCTGGCATGAGAGTGGCACTGCTTATCATGTAGAACATATTCAGGAAATAGAATGATATCAGAGATGCAATCTGATGATATGGGCCATCATGCCCAAACACGTAATTGGAACTCGAACTATGACCGGCCAGAGGTACATTGATGAATTTTATTGCTTCATGTTCACTTTCTCTGTGGTGCTTTTGGTGATAAATTTCTTTTGACGGATGACAATGCTATTAACACTCATTGTTCAGAATTATCTGGACAGTATGAATATTCATCTTCTCATATAGCTAGCATGTTCTCCAGAACTAAACATCATTGAAAATGTTTGGGATACTCTGAGGAGGTGACTTGCTGGTCCTGCAACAATATCCTGCAACAAATAAAACTACCTTCCTTCATCCATACCTTGAGAGAGTATCATTTGCCTCAACCGGGCAATTGGTGCAGGATAATGTTGTGCAAAGCACAATATGGCATGCGAAATGTTGCATCACAAGGTGGACATATTCTGTACAGACATGTTTCTCCAAGGGGCCTGTTGCCATTCATATATATTTTCCCATTTCTTTATACACAACATCAAAAGAATTTTTTTTTTTAATTTAATTTTATTTTATTTTATTTTTTATTATTTATTTATTTCTGGATGTTTCAAAACCTGCATTTTTCTGAACAATATATGCCTTTTATTCTAATGTCCAAACAGCATAATATGGCTATAATATGGTACCCTGTTTAGCCTCCAGTTCTGCTTAATGTTATTCTACATTGCAGTTTGAGGTGTCTCCTTAGCAGTTGTCAGCAGTATAAGTATATGATGGGAGAAATGATGAAAATTATTTTTGTCTAAATACTTTTGATAATTTCAGGTATTCTTAAAATGCTGGATGTGCACATATATACACATATATCCAACAATATTGCATTTATTTTATCTACGTATTCCGCTATGTATGTATGTGTATGCGCACATGTGTGCATAGTGGAATCTGTAGATAAATTTTCTGAGAGTTTTATATAAGATCTGTAATCTATATTTGTTCCTTAGAGATGTACCAAAGCTGTAGATGATGAGGCATACCAAAAAATGGTTGATCGAGCTGTTGAGCAACTGAAGCGTGATTATTCATCTCGGGACTCTCGCTCAAGAAATGATGCTAGTGCTCCTCCATCACAGCAAGAGCAGCCTGATTGTGATGAACGAGGAGAAAAAATGGAAACACAGTTTTCATTTAACTCTAATAAAAACGATTCTGATATGAATAGTACCAGTGGTACACAGAAGGAAAATCAGAATAGTGATGGTCCAAATGAGCAGAGATCTCCGAAAGATCAAGTAAGGTTTATATATTTTTTGAAATGCTTTTTTTGCAACTATCATTTTTATAATTTTGATATTAAGGCAGTATTTAACCATGAAATTGATTTGTTATTACCAAAAATTGAACCCAAAAGTTCAAAGTCATTTTCTTTGGTGATATAATAAAAATAGGTGATCCATATTCGATTTCTGTGTTTAACAGAATTCTTTTAACAAAAAAATGATTTTTTTAAACACTTATATGAAATAAATTTGAATAAAGGCACTTTCAGTTTTTTTGTTTCAATACTTTTGAACTATATAAAGTTTTTATTTACTTTCTATGACTTGCATGTTCAGTTAACACACTGTATACCATTTTCAGTGATTCTGGTAAATATTTTCAGTGTTATTGGTTACAATTACTCTCATTATTCATTCTGATTACATCTAGACTCAATTGAACTTTTGCTGGGTTTGTAATAAGCCAATGAGTTTAACATCTACTGGTTATGAGATGAGGAATGTCATGAATTTTTTTCATGTTATGTTGTAAATGAGTTGTGATAATTATCATGTTTCTTGTATTATTCATTCTGATGATATCTAGTTTTAGTTTATTGAACTCCTGCCAATTACAACTTTAACACTACTACTTTTGCAACATTATCTTGTTGAGTTTAGCATGCTTTTACAAATATTTTGTGTTACTGCTGTATATGGTAGGCTCATACTTGACTCAGAGGGCTAGCTGGCCCAACATCAAGGGTTTTACTTCAGTGTAATAATGGCACTGCACTAGCTGATGTATATTCTTTCAAAAGACAAAGATAATGATGAAGGTGTAAGTGTAGGATATGATTTCATTTTCTGAATGTGTTAGCAGTAAAAGATATTTAGCAGTGGGCTCACATTAGTAAGTGAGTGGATAAAATCACTGAGCATTAATAGATTCAATTCTTTACAAATAGGCTGGTTGTATGGTCATTTTCATTGTTTCCTTCATGTGTAATAGAAATGTTAGCCTTTCCTTCATGTGTAATAGAAATATTAGCCTGTTTTCCTTAGAAAGTCCACCATGAAAACATGGAGGTAAGTCTTAGGCAAATAGGCTATTATGCCAGTGTGATCCAATCGCATTCAGTTCAAGCAACAACAAAAGTGATATACAGTCAAAAGTCGTTAATTCGGACACCCATAATCCGGAATGATCTATAATCCGGACCTCAAAGCTACAAACTTTGCGCGTAAGACCTTTACGGCTGCGAATATGCGTCTGCGCGCGCGCAAAATACGTTTACGAATGTGCGTTTAATGAATATCGGACGGTATAAGCTAAGCTAAAATTATCTAATTCAGTTAATGTTGCAGATTGTGTTGTTCCTTAATCTTCGAATTGGATTTGGCTTATTATTTTTTGCAGACTGTTAGAGCAATTTTATAAAAGTAAGCTTGAACTTTCGATTATGTCAAATAGAATTTCTGATACATATTTACTAATATGCAAAAAGGATCTACAAAGCGAAAGTATAAGTCCATTAAACAAAAAGTGGAATTGCTGCAAAAAATGGATGAAGGCATATCCTTTGTTTATCTAAACTTTAACATTTGTTTATCTTTAACGCTGCGGCGCGCAATGAATTGGAAGTTGATCTGTCAGCACTATCCTTATCTTCAGGGCAGATGTTTTTATTTTATTTGGCTTACTAAATGTAGTATTTCATCTCGATGTACTCCGTCTTTGATATGATTTAAATCAAATTCCTCATCATTATAATTCACTTCCGATAGCGAAGAAAGTGACAGAGGTTATTGAAAACGAAAAAATTTCGATTGACAAATTAGTCGGTATTCTCGACACAGCAATTATAGGACTTGAACAGCGGAACTTTGTAACTGAACAAGAAATTATGTCTGTTTATAGAATTAAAGAGAATGTATTATCACATAAAAAACAAAGCAACTTAAACAACTTACATTGAAAGAAATATTTAATAAAGTAAGCAAATAAATATTAAGCTTTTTTTTCGTAAATTTTGATACCCTTTAGATCATAATTGTTCTTTATTTCGTAAATTACGGTTTCATATTTTTAATTTTATAATTTCTGCATGCCATTTTACCAGATTTAAACTGATGATCTATAATCCGGAATCGCCGAAGTCCCGACGAGTCCGGATTAACGACTTTTGACTGTATAACCATATTCAGGAGTTGGAAGTCTGTTCTCATTATGATTTAGACGAATTAAATTATGTTTAGACAAATGTAGATGTTTTGTGTAATTGAGAATCATTGGAGGGCTATCCCTCTGTTGAGTTCAGTCTACAAAAAAATAAAAAAAGTAAGGTGAAGACATTTTTTACAGTAATGTGTGAAGCAATAATTTCTTGCACTTTCCTTTGTGCTATCTGGGATGTGAAAAGGTTTTACAATACAAAGTGTTAACATAAAAAAAGTAAATAGTTCCTGTCTTTTATGTGCTAATTTCTTTTATTAAATATCTTTTTATATATTTGAAATAATAATTTTTGCTAACAGGTGTATGATAATTGTATTCTGATACATAAATGACAATAGTCAGTGCAAAGGAATCATCTGTTCTTCTGTAATGTTATTAAAATATGTGTGTATGCAGTAATCTTCTGTAGTGGAAAAAGGATGTGTTAAAGTAAAACAGACAAATTTAGTTACAAACGAAACTGAAAGCTTAAGTCAGAATTACTAAATCATTTTGAACTAGATTGAAACTTTTCAAAATACACGTGTGGAAAACTTAAGCAAGCAACTTTTCTGAATGTAGCCATAATTCCGCAAAAAATCACCTGGGATACATGGAATTTATACGACAGAGGCACAATGTAATACTTAAAAGAGTATTAAATAATAATAAATTAAAATTAAAATTTTTTAGTCATTGACTCTTAATTTGACAGATATTTATTATTCATTATATTTTTTCAGAAAAATTATTCTGGAAAAGCAGGAAATTAAATTTTAGTTTTCTGTGCGATGCAGTACATCCTATACAAGCTGTAAAAATTTATTTGACATTCAAAAAAAAAAAAAAAAGTGTCACAAAAAGTTCATACAAAAATAGTTTTTTTAAATGGTTAACATATGCTGTATTGAGTATGCACTGTAACATTATTGAAAAACAATCTTACCTATTATGAGTTCACAAGGATGAGCCGGTACAATGGATACCGGTGGATACCGGCTCATGTAAATATTTTTGGTAATGAGAAGGCCGATGAGCTTGCAAAGGCATCCCGTGATTCTCCTCAGCCATCCAACTGCCTAACCCTTGTTGATGCCAATGCAGTTGCCAACCAAAGATTAATCGATCAAGTTAAAGGAAACTCCATCCCGGAATTGAACTGTGACAGAGCCATATCGACTATCATAACCAGACTTAGGACAAATCACTTAAAAGGGATTAGGATTTCTGCAGACGGACAGCATAGTTACACCAACATTTGCCCTCATTGCCCAGATGACATCCCACTGTCTCGCCATCACATCTTCAGCTGCCCAGCAATCCAGGCCAGACTGTTTAACATCGGCATTGAAGACCCAGTGGACCTGCTTTATACTGATAGAGCTGCTGAGGTTGCAAAAGCTGTCTTTGACAGCTTTGAAGCTATATAATTGCACTTTGTCGTAGACACGACATCATCATCATGAATTCACAACAACCTCTATATTTATCAAAATGAAAACATTCTATTCACAACAATCTCTGTATTTATAGAAATGGAAACAATATCCTGAAATGTTTTTCTTCATATGTTATGATTCCTAATGTCAGAAAAAATTAATAGTGGGGACTTTTTTATTTTATAGAGCTGTGCTTCAAGCATGAATACTAACCAAGATAATTCAAATATTCAACAGGCTAGCTATCCTCCAAGTGCACAAGCCCCTCAGGCTCATCCTGTTCAAGAATCTCATCAACATTCTATGCAGACTAATTATACTGAAGGTAGTTTTTATAATTTTTATTTTGATTTTTAATTGAATTTCAAATTTGAACTAGTTGCCATAATGGAAAGATATATGTCTTATTATTTTGTTAAAATGTAATATACAAAATTTGTGAACTGTTATTATTTTATTAAAGTTCACTTTTAGAAAGGAAATTTGTCTTATCTAGAAATTAGCCATGGTTAAATATTTGAGAAGAAATTTTGTTTTAAATTATGCACTATAAAAAGGTTTAAAGCAGGAAAAGCATAGCTGGAAGCTTGAAGAAACAGCACAATAATAAGAATGAATTACTGCTTTGAATTAAACAATAAGAAGTTTTGGTTGCCAAGTTATTTGAAGCAATATTTCTGTGTAAAATACTCAGCCTTCCCGTACTCCTTTTTAGCTTTCATGGAATTGCATTTTGAAGCCCTGTATGGAAATTATTTATTATTTTACTGTGAGAAACTATAAGAACTAATGAACTTTAAAAGGAAAAAAAAAAAAAAAAAAAAAAAAAAAAAGGAAGCAAAGTATAATAAAGCATGAGAATTTAATCTGATGATATTATATCATGTTCCTGGTGTGCAGGAAAGTTATGTAAACAAACTAGAAGTGTATAAGTGATAAACAGTGCTACAAAAATATGTTCATGTAAGTTTTAAATGTTATGTAAAAGGACAAAAAATGTATTTTGGTCTGAGGCTTTTTGATGTTTAAAATATTTTTATAAGCACTGCTGGATATTATTTTAACTATGCCCATAAGCATTTAAAAATCAACAAGATACCTGGAAATATATATTTTATTTATTCTTATTATTTAAATATTATTTGTTAAATTAATCATAATGATAATCTCCAGTACTCTGGCCTTTTATTTGACATCTTTAAATAATATAAAATATATTAAAATTTTATAATGGTTTGGAATCCTTTGATAGATCTCATTTATAACTAACTATACAGTTAAAAGTCTTTAATCCAACGTCCAATCCGACCTCAAAGCAAACTTTCTGTGCGCATCAATCATAATGTGTTTGCTGTGCATATACGCACGCGTTTAATGTATAACGAATGTTAAGCAGCTAAAATTTCTACGAGGGCTATCCAGAAAGTAGATTACGTTTTGGAATAAAAAAATAAACAAAGTATAGGAAACAAATTTTATTATATACAGATGAAAGCCACACTCAAATACTACTTTTCTACATAGTCACCATACAAATTAAGGCATTTATCGTAGCGATGTACGAGCTTGGAAATTCCTTCGTCGAAAAATTCGGCCGCCTGCGCCTTCAACCACTTCGTTACCTCTTCTTGCCTTCCATCTTGCACAAAACTTGTGGTAACCAAGCTTTTCGCTTGATTTCGTGCTGCAAACTTCGCGAAATTTGTGGAAAACTCAAAGAAAGTTCCGTTATTGTGAAATTTCGATTTTCACGGACTTTAGCATCGACTTTTTCGAGAAGTTCGGCGGTCACTATGCTGGGTCTCCCACTTCGATCTTCGTCGTGAACATTGGTTCGGCCATTTTGAAATCTTATGACCCACTGACGCACTCCACCTTCAGTGATAATGTTGTCCCCATACACTTCACGAAGCTGCCGATAGATTTCTATCGGTTTACAGTTTTTTGCAGTCAGAAACCTTATTACTGAGCGCACCTCGCAGCTCGCGGGATTTTCAATTAACGCAGACATTTCAAACCGTCACAGTATCTGAACGGAGCACAGCACGAACCTCTCACTAGCACGGCTAGATGCAGACTGAGCTGCGCAACGCTCTGACCCCAAGATGGCCGCGCTAGCCCCGCCCCTAGCGGACACAGACGGAAACGTAATCTACTTCCTGGATGGCCCTGTCTATTTCATTAATTTGAGAGCAGCCTTATCTTCTAATGGATCCGGTTTTTTTTTCGACGTTAAGCAATTATAAAGTAGCTTGACTCGATTAGTCAAAAGAATTCCATTTGACTACCAAGGTCTAAAAGAAATTTTTGATGCCTCAACAAAATGGATTGCGCAAAAATGGATAAAGGCCTTTGATTCTCTAATCATTCCGAAATAATGACGCGGCCTGCGATGAACTGGAAGTTGATCTGTCAGCACTATCCTTATCTTCAGGGCAGATGTTTTTATTTTATTCTGCTTATAATTTCGTACTAAAGCCCCGTTCACATGCAACGCTCCTTCGCACAGCTGCCGTTAGCAAGAGGAGTAAAAGGAGATATGAAAGAGTTTCGTCTTTAGGACCCGTTCAGAAGACCACCCTCTGCTTTCCCCCTTTACACCTAAGACTCTGTGAACTATCACGTCTCCAAATTGGCAGATTTCTAATACTGTTTACACATTTTTAATGTTGTTTATTGTTGTTAATTTTGTAATCTGTACTTTCGCAACTGGTACCTGAACTTTCGTAATGTTTCCTGAAAAATATATGCTTTTTAATTATTATTATTATTATTATTATTTTATAAGCTGTTATCTTGGTGCTTGTCGCTATGGTTAAAAGATGGTCATGGATTTTTAAACTGCTTCCCGCTAAGATATAGAACTCAAACTTTGTACATACACTGCTTGTGGATGTGGTGTCACGCTTTTGATTTTTAGAGGATTAGATTTTTTTCAAATTTAAAGTCGGAATGACTTTTTGCAAATATTAACAAATAAACTGAGAATCTCAGAATATTATAGTTTGCACCATAATACACTGTGGAGAAAAAATATTAACTGAAATTTGTAGTGTAATTTTTTTAAAAAATATTTGAGAGAATTTTTAAAAAATTGTTCATATTTTTAGACTTTTTGACACCCATTAATTTTAAAATTTCATATCTAAAAATATATCGGTTACAAACTTCTGACATTTTCACAGCTTATAAGACAAACATTTTGCATTTAAAAAAAAATGATAAAAATTAATTGGACGATTTTTTTTACTTTTTTGAAATATATGGAATGAAGCAGAATGGGAAATATTGGTTCTTCTTGAGCATCAATTCGAAACATCGGTTTCAAAGTAATAATCTCATTATATCACACCATTTTTATGACATTTTTTACGCTATATAAGTTGTTATTGTTGCCAGTTGTTAGTTCAGCGTGAGATTGGAGATATTTCTGAGTTAACTTTCTCTTAAGATGCGTTTTGCATTCCGTTGTGTTTAATGTTCTTATTAGATTGAAGCATAACTACTGATTATACTTAGTGATATTCTAAACACTTGTACGAGTATTTCTGTGGAAAATTCCAGAACTTTGAAGTGTTTCTGTTGATAAAATAAATTTAATTAAGCTATCATCGGATTTGAGTGCAATGACAATCTATTACAAACCCGTACGAACGCAACAATATTATAATTAATTAATGTATTAAGATTGTTTTGAACGTGTTTTACGAAACAAAAACAGGTAAAGAAAAATTCTGCTTGCGTTTTGATTTTTTGCAATTTTCTGGCCACATAAGGTTTTTAAAAAAAGATTTGTAATTTACGTGTATATTTGCCAAATGAATAAATAGCACTAGGTTTGATTTATATACATATGTGTGTATTGAAATTCAGTAATAAAATTTTAAAGATTTGAATGATTAAATGTCTATTTAGACAGTTTGTATTCTTTAAACCGCAAATGGAAACTAAGAAACATTTTTCATTTTTTTCAATAAATCCTTTTACTTAAAGTCCTAAAACATATACAGGTAAGGACTAAATAAAAATTTAGTCCTTACCTGTATATGTTTTATGTTTATGTATTAAGATTGTTTTGAACGTGTTTTATGAAACAAAAACAGGTAAAGAAAAATTCTGCTTGCGTTTTATGATTTTTTGCAATTTTTCTGGCCACATAAGATTTAAAAAAAAAGATTTGTGATTTACGTGTATATTAGCCAAATGAATAAATAGCACTAGGTTTGATTTATATACATATGTGTGTACTGAAATTCAGTAATAAAATTTTAAAGATTTGAATGATTAAATGTCTATTTAGACAGTTTGTATTCTTTAAACCGCAAATGGAAACTAAGAAACATTTTGCATTTTTTTCAATAAATCCTTTTACTTAAAGTCCTAAAACATATACAGGTAAGGACTAAATTTTTTATTAATTTTACTGCTTATTTAAAATTATATACTTTATAGAAACAAGGATGGGTTTTGCAAAATACTGAAAGGAAAAATTATTTGAAATGAAGATGCAACTGAGATCATATTTGTTTTAAACATTTTAGATAAAAGTGTATTTTTATTTTTTCTCAGAAACTAATTCATTAATTGCAAAATCATTCCTTGAAGTTATTAAAAACACTCTAATAAATACAATAAAAAAACTGGGGGAAGACATTGAAAATCGTAGGAGAAGAAAGACATTTTAATTGTAAAATTTTTCTTCAAAACTTTTAATTAAAAAAATTACTTGCAAAAACTATTTTTCAGCTTAAAATTATTTTGTCTCACAAAACCATTTAATAATATTCATAAAAAGTAGATGAAAATGCTTAATTAAAAAAAAATCATTCAAAAGGTACAGAGTCCCTTGTCACGTTGAAGCCGACATGCACTTGTCTTAACTTTAGTTTTAATTTGAACGATATTTCTGGAATACCTAGCATCAGATAACCTTGTCTGTATTTGTCTATTATTTCCATATCTTGTACAGTTTTAATTTTTGGGGCTATGCTATCGCATCCTCAGACATCTATCAGCGCGATTGTTTCGCTGACAGTCCAGCGAGCAGTAACTAAAATTAAGTGAACCGCGCAGGTACGGGAAATCTCCCCATTTGCCCTGCCCCGAGAGGTAAGGAACATTCAACCAAGTTCTACCTCCAATTCGGCGAGGCAGTTAATGCTTGTCCCATGTGAACGGGACACGTTGGAAGAACCGGTTTTCGCTACCAGTCGAATCTGCTCTTGTGAACGTGGCTTAAATGTAGTATTTCATCTCGATGTACTCCGTCTTTGATATAATTTAAATCAAATTCCTCATCATTATAAATATCACAAATATACATCAAATAGTTTTCTGGTTGTAATTTTCTAATTTCGACTATGCATAATGTATGCTTTACGCATGCGCGCACTGAAAGAAATGTTTAATAAAGTACAAATAAATATAAAGCTTTTTTTTTTTGGTAAATTTTGATACTCTTTAGATCATAATTGCTCTTTATTTCATAAATTATGGTTTCATATTTTTAATTTTATAATTTCTGCATGCCGTCTTACCAGATTTAAACTGATGATCTATAATCCGGAATCGCCGAAGTCCCGACGAGTCCGGATTAAAGACTTTTGATTGTACCTCTATATTGTGAGCAGAATATCAAACTTTCTAAATTTATAAATTAAGTTGCACATTATTTAAGAAAATACATATTGTCCTCTATGTTTATTTCACATTAAGCCATCATTAATTAATCATACACTTCAGATTAATTTTGTACCTAATCTTAGTCTGGTTTGATGACATAAAATGTGATGTTACTTGGCTGATTTAAAGACAATTTTAATTACATTTAATTTTATATTGCGCCAGTAAATGAATAAGTTGTTACATTTGAGTTAGCACACCAAATTACCATTATTGTAGAAGTTAAAGCAACAAGAATCATTGTAATATTCATAAATTTGCAGGACTAGTTTTGAAGATTTAAATATAGTTTTCTTTTTGAGCTGCAGAAGTTGGGCTGGTATGTATTTAATTTAATTTTATTAATTTTTCCTTTTTTGCATCTCTGCAACTGAAGAAAAAGGATCTATATTTTTTAGACCTTCAAAACTAGTCCTGCAAATGTATGAATATTACACTGATTCTTGTTGCTTTGACTTTTCCAATAAAAGTCTGTGCATTTTGAGGATAAATCTAGATTATATTTCTTCTATTTTGTTACAAATATTGTGAACAAGTTATAATTTTTGTCTTTTTTGTTTTTAATCTTATGATTATATCAGTATTGTTAGACTTTTGTGCACGTATACAGGATGTTAAATTTTGAATTTTATTTCTTTTCAGGAATGTAATTTTCATCATTCGTTTATATTCTTGGCTGTCTTCAGTTGACTGAACTGCAGTTGCTACAAAATATGAAAAAAGGAAAATACCTCTTAAAAATATCATTTGATTTGTATCTGTATATCTTTTCATGTTAATGGTAACCTTCATTCATAAAATAAATGTTTGTGCATTTGCTAAAAATATTGCAAATTAAAACATGATTTTATTCTATTGTTCTTCTAGTTTTGATTTATTTACCACAGTTTGTCCCCCCCCCTTAAAAAAAGAAATATATATCCAGATTTTTTTAATAATTCACTTGAAAAAAAATAAGAACTTAAACTATATTTATCTCCAAATACTATTATATAATCATGAATGGATAATTTTAAGATAAAAATGTATTTGTCTTAAAATCAATCAGTATGGAACAGAAGCAATCAAGAATATTTTTATAAAATAGCAAAATGTATGGAATGCCAAATTAAGTCCTTTGAGTAAATGATTCTAATTGATATATCATTATATTGTGTGTTGGGGGGATGAGTAGATCTTCACACAATTAAATCTTGATCAAATTTTTTAAATTGTTTGTTAAAAATATTTGTTTTCTGCATCACATATAAATGATTTAATGCCTAAAATTTTCTTCCAATGAAAATTCTTTTTAAAGTTTTATTCAGTTTTTACTAATTCAGAATTATGCAAAATTCTTATGCACATTTATTTTGTATGATTCTATTCTTAAAATTTAAATATTTCATTCTTCTTGTCGACTGGAAAATGACTTTAGTGGGTTCTGCTGTAAATATATGATGAACATAAAATTCTGTTAATTTTCGATCAGTGTTTACAGAATCATGGCAGATATTTCAGAAAGAAGTTGAAGAAATGATTATTTCCTGGACTACTTTGCAAAGGAAGTTGATTAACACGTATGTTACACATGGAAACCTCATGTGGTACAGTAGGACTGTTTATGACAGAGGTCATATTCTGTAATTTTACACCAACTGTAAACAATATTCCATTAACAAAAAATTAACATATAGAGAATAATTAATAAAAAGCATTTAGTTTTTCTCATAGAGTATGATTTGATTCATATGCTATGAGTTCTACTTTATCCTATTAACAAGCTATCAATTGGTACATCACTACAGCAGGGGTTGGAAATGTGATGCTTGCTATTATTGGAAGTACAAATAAATCTCTGCCATTTGACAAAAAATAGCACCACCAGTAAGTTATGGTTTAGATTATCTGATGTAAAACATCAGCGATTTTATGTCAGCATGATATTATTTTTTCATGCAAAAATGTTGAGTTTTTAGCGGAATGAGCATCATTTGCAGAAACTTCTATTTAATAATTTGAAAAAACCTGCAGAAGCATATGGTGACACTTTTAAGTGAAAGTGACTTTAAGTGAAAGACGTTGTCATGAATGGTTTTAAAAACTTTAAGAACGTTGAATTTATCATCAAGACAAATAATGGAGTGGAAAGATGAAAGTGTATGAAGAAGCAGAATTAGAAGCATGTTGGATGATGAAGATTCGTGCTAAATGCAAGTAGAACTTGCACTTATATTCAGAGTGACTCGACATTTTCACAAAATCATTGGGGATGATTCAAAAGCAAGGAAATTAGGTTCCATATAAATTGAAGCCGAGAAATGTTGAACACTGATTTTTTACACGTGAAATGCTGCTTGCCAGGCATAAACAGAGGGGTTTTTTGGATTGTACTTGTGATTAAAAATGCATCCACTACGAAGAAGAAATTATGGCGACCACCTGGCCATGCTTCAACATCAAGAACCAAGCCAAATATTTATGGGGGGGGAATCATGCTGTGTATATGGTGTAATCTATCTATATTTTGAACTCCTGTGCTGAAACAAATAATAGTACATGCAGGTATAAGTATAAACATTGATTAACCCCTTAACTGCCACGAGCATGTATATACACGTCCTTCCAAAATACTATCATTTACTTTGCGCTGCTACCCATAAAATGATTCGCAAAGCTTTGAAATGCAACACCACAATGACCTTGAAAAGGTATGCAAAGGAGGATACTATTTCAGAGAAGTGTGGGGAGAAATTGGAGAGAGGGCTAAAGCCAGGGATAAATAGAAGGGCTAGGTCATTCCTTTGCTCGACTCCTCCCCGACGCAAACCTCATGGAGGGGGTTAACTAGACATAATCTGATGTGTCTGTGTTGCACCTGTTCTCTGATTTCGCGCATTTAAAGTTTCCTTCAGTTGCGAGACAATTTTCTGGAGGTCGCATATCCCAAATTAATTTTAATCATACATATTTGTTTTCTAATAATGCAAATATTTAAAATATTTTTTGTGTATATATATATAGTTTTAGTCAGTTTTCCTTTTAAATTCTATATTTAAATTTATATGTAATATGGCTTCTTGTGCCGTAACACTTATAGAAATACGAAAGGAAGAGATATTGTATTTCATGCTTTCCCAAAGGACAATTTGCTTTTGACTAAAGAATATAAATGTCGAAGACAGGATTCTATTAATGTGAAAAATGCAAGAACTTGCAGCAAACATTTTCTGTGCAGTGATTATGAAGATGACATGAGAAATCGCTTGCTTGGATTGCCGCAAAAAGAAACTGTTGAAATGCAATACTGTGCTGAAAGTAAATTTATCGTGTGCAGTAAATGAAATAACACCAAGAAATCGGAGATATTTGAAAAGAAAAGTGCTTTTGAAAGACTGACTTAAGCCCAAAGAAAATTTATTTTGAGGCCGTGATTGAAATTAAAGCTGACAATAATAAATCAAAGGTGAATGATTTTGAAATAAAACTCACAAGTGACAATACCCTGAATGCCCTAAATGTAAAGATAAACAATAATTATAAAAGTATTGATAATTTGAAGAATAGAATAATATCCTTAGAAAATTGTAATAAAATATTGAAAAATGGAGAAAAGAAAAATTTTAGAATGTTTGCTCAACGACAAAGAAGGTGGACAACATCCAGAAAGAAATTTGTTTCAGAAATTAAAATCCCAAACAGCGAAATTTAGGAAAAAACAGCACAGATCGGAGAATTTGGAAAAATGTCTAAAGCATATTTTTACAAAGACGCAGATTAATGCATTGCTAGAAAAGAAGGAAAAAGTCAGGTGGACTAGTGAAGATATTTCACATTGCATTGTCATAAGAGCTGTGTCATCTAAAAGCTACGATTTTTGGAAAGAAAAAATAGGAATTCTTTTACCTAGCACTAGCACATTAAAGAAATGGTGTGCTAAATTTTCATGTAGTCCAGGAATTCAGAGTGATGTTCTTGCTGTAATGAAGGAAAGATGCGAATATTTGAATTGTGTAGAGAAAATATGTGTTCTCAGTTTCGACGAAATGCACATAGATTCTAAACTGGACCAAATTCTCGGTCCTTTTCAAAAAGTACAGTTTGTTTTAATCAGAGGTCTTATTCGCAGTGGAAACAACCAATACTTTTTTTTATTTTAACACTCCAATGAAAAAAGAACGTTTTTCACTCATAAGACATATTCAATCATCTGGAGTAGAAGTGAAAGCAGTAGTGTCTGATTTAGGAGGATTTAGTACTTTGTGGAAAGAGTTACAGATTTCGATTAATAGTTCTGTTTCCAAATCCAGTATTGGCAAACGAAAAAAATATGAGTTTTTGCAGATAATTAAGATTATCTGCAATATTATACCCATATTATTTTGCAGATTTAGCGCACTGCCTCAAATTACTGAGAAACCACTTTTTAGATAAAGGATTTGTTTTAGAAGATGGAACTGTTTTAAAATGTTGATATTATTGAAGAGGTTTTAAATAGAGATTCAGGAGAAATTGTCACGAACTAAAACCAAATTTTTTAATGATCAAGGGAAATGAGACAAAAAGTTTAAATAGTTTATAATTGTGTGTGTTCGATCTCACAGTTTCGAGAGGAGTGCAATCAATGTATCATTATGTCGAATAGGGACATTCTTCCATCTTAATCTTGGTGGATTTTTTTTTTTTTTTTTACCAGTATTAAACTCTTCATGAAATACTGAGCACTAAACAAAAATGATATAATAAGAAATGTTATAATTTTTGTTTTATTGCTCTTGAAATTAAGTTTTATATTTATCACTTAATTTTTCTATGTTCTCTAAAACAATGACGATGAAATCATCGGCATATGCTTGAAGAGTGACATAGTTTCCCAAGTCTAACTTTAATCCAGTATTAGTCACAATGTTCCACCAAACTGGACTTTATGTGAGTCTGTCCTAATGTTTTATCTAAATCTTAGCCACATGTAGAAGAATCGGTTTGGTGTCATGTATTATGAGTTGCAATAGCCGAACGAAACCATTATTGGGGCTCTCTACCAAACGCAATTGATGAGATTGAGCTAAGTACCCAGAAGAAAAATGTGCTCACTACTTACTCTAGACATGACAAAATTATTCTTCTGCATGATAAACACTCATCTACATAATTGCGGTGCTCATCTAAACCTATTTCAGAAACACTCAAATGAGAAGTCTGCCCCTTCCTGCCGTATTCACCAGACTAATACTTTTGATTGATGATGCATGGTTTGTCTGAGCAGTGCTTCACATCATATGAAGGCACTAAAAATTGGGTTGATTTGTGGATACCATCGAAAGATGAATGCATTCTTTCAATACAGTATCCATGTGCTGTCAGAAAGATGGGGAAAACTAGATGCTAGCAATGGACAATAATTTTGAATAAAACATAACGTATCATTCTTTCACAATAAATGTCCAATTTTTGATACTGAGATTATAAAACACTGGTAGATTGTAATGATTAATTTTAGTAAAATTTTTTATTCTATCTTTGCTGTTTTGACAATTGTATGAATTGTACAGCTGAGCTTTTTGACAGAAAGTAAATCTTAGTAACAGCTAGATAAGACTACAATGACTAGCTGAATCAATTGCTAGGCACATCCGATTCTGCGTTTAGTGAGCTATTTTTGTCTTCATTAACCTCATATACTCTGTCTAACCATGGCAGGCTACAGTTTACATATGTAATCTCTGTTTGTATGTAAAGTTGTCATTTTATGGATTTATATTTCGAGTTGTATGCAGAGTACGCAATCTTCGTTTTAAATTAAAAGTTAACGAAAAGATATCAATAACTTTGCTTTTGGATAGGTTGGTACTAAGAAAATAATTTTATTTTAGCTGATTATTGTAGATAAACTTATTTCAGTAGCACAGCAACAACAATTTATAGTTAGCTTGTTTGGCTAGTAATATATCTGAACAAAGTGTTATCGCAAGACGTTTTCATAAAAGTTTTTACAATAACAAAACAGTTAGAAAATTGCAACGTATACAATCCACATCTATTAATTATTTTCACATAATTATATATTTATTTTTATTATTATATTAGTTGTTTCACAACGCCTGCCAAAATCTCATATTTTTGAAATATGCCCTTCAGTAAAAAAGGTTGCTGACCACTGAGCTTCAAAACACCTGTATCTCATTTGAAAAGTTTTATTCTCAAAAGTTAAACATAATGATTGCATGAGATATAAATGATATTCCCCATGCATAGCATAAACGAAAGCAAAGTTTACTTTATAAAGGTCTTTTGTGAAAACATCTTTTCTTAAACATATACACTTAACTTGCTTTAGTGTAATCGTATCTCCGACTGCAAAAACAGAAACAAGATTAATAAATCTCTAGTCTATGCCATTAAACTACTGTGAACTGAAAATAAATTTTCTATGCAGACCTGTCATAAGCTGGGTATCAAATTTACCTACATTTTCTGCATATTTTTTTTTACCATTTTTAGTAACCTAAAACAATTGAGGTGTGAAAAGTATGTACATTTATTCTCAAGTACTGATTTTATAAGACAAATATAACAGCAGAAACTTGATCTAGTGTTCCTAAAACAATCATTTTCTTGCACATATCATTCACAGTTATGTACAAATCACATTAATTATTCCTGCATGCAGCATTCTTGAAACTGTTATGTTCCAGAGCAGCATTTTCCACGTGGATCATTTAGAAATCACATTAATTATTCCTGCATGCAGCATTCTTGAATTTGTTATGTTCCAGAGCAGCATTTTCCACGTGGATCATTTAGAAGAAAATTTGAAGCAAATTATATATTTGTTATTTGTGTTCTATTTGGATTATAAATTTAGCAAGATAATGCTTCACCTATGGCTAAAAATGCTGCTAAAAATTAAGATTTTTAATATAACATGCATACCAAAAGTAATAACTGTTATTTAATTATAATATGTAATGGTTTCCTATATTCAAAGTTTATTTCCTTCACAGCCTTGAAAAAAAAATTATATAAAAATTCTCTGTATATTAAAATTTAACATACCTGTTCCAAAAAATTGAAATCTTCCCCAGTGACATCTTGTATATAATCTTTCTGGGAGTGGAAGAGGATATATGTAAGTATTCTAAAACTGAATCAATGATTGACTAATGACATCTGTAAGAAGCAAGCAGAAACTATTAAATGGAATAGTTAACTATGCTGTTTGCTAAATTTAGTCAAGATGAATTCTTAATTATCTTAATTTGATGCTCTGTTTCCCTGTCTAATGCTGCAGGTTCAGACATTGATATTTCTAGTATCTAGCTATATTAAGTCATCATCAGAACCATTCATCAGGCATTGAAAACTTATTAAATTATTGTTTGAGATGTTAACTTCCATAATCCACTAAAGATCTCATCATTTTTCTGTAATATTTTACTTCTAGGCTTTAAGATATGATTACTTTAAGCATCTACTCATAATCCTTTGAATTTCAGCTTTATTAAGTGTCATATGCAAGAATAAAGTTAAACCTTCAGAAATCACTGCATATCTCAAATTTATTATTTTCAGACAATCTTCTTCATTTCAATGCACAATATATCTAACTTTGTAATTCCCATAGCAGGAGACAGAATATTTCAATGTTTCTGAAGATACCTGGCAAACTTTGAAGAATACATGGTGATGAAATATATATGTAGAAATAAAGTATTTAATTATGACAACATATACAAAGATTATCAGTCTTGAAGGATGCCAAGTACTTCAAAAACTTTGCCAGCAGTGAGATCTTATGCAGAATGAATATATATAGGATAGTTCAAAAATTTATATGCAATGAATAAAACTGCATTTTAACATCTCATTGTTTTCCAGAAAAAGAGTAGTTCTTTCCCCTTAAATAACACAGTGCATTTTTTACAGTAGCTTTCAGATATTGCAAGAACATTCTAACAGGGTGAGAAAATTCTTTCTGTTCTTAAAAATCTTTAAACCAGTTTGGGAAAACAACTTTTTATCTCAAAATCATATTTGCTTGCGTTTATTTCATCGGAATAAGCATATAATCAGATTGTAAATTAATAGCTGCTATTATTTTTTCAGGTAAAAATTTAGTTATGCACATAAAGAATCAAAGAACCTAAAAAATACACATTTTTCTGGGTAATAAGTAGTACATATTTTATTTAAGCTAATTATTAACTAAATGCATGCATAAATTTTTATAACTGTTTCATACTGATTTTTCTTAGCAATGCTAATTAAAGTTTGCTAGTTGCCATGAAATTTTAAAATCTTTTTTAATCTCCTGAACAGTTTTTTATGTCTGCTTAAAATCTTTTAATCCAAAATTAAAGAAAATTATAATATTAAAATGTATGTACATATAGTTCAGCAAATTTTATTAGTTATCCTTTCTATCTGATAAAGCAGATACAAAAAGTCCTTTTTCTTTCTACAACAGATAGTGCAATATCCTTTTTTAATTAAATAATCAAAATGTTAGTGCACCATTTGTTCTTCCATTGCTTGAGCCATCCAGTCAGGTGCATGAAGAGTAATTTTCTCTATAATGTTATTAACCTGAAAGCACAGGCTCTGGATTTGTTTGTCCCAGGATGGAAGAACTTCTTTTGCTGAAAGAGATTAAAAAATATAGTTCTTTTTAGAAATTTTGTAACTAAAATTACACATAACAATGCAAAGAATCTTCTCTATGAGCGATCACTCACACTTCCAGACAATTTAGCTTCCTATAAAGATTCTTATCTTATAAAGCTAAATAGTGAAAACAAAACTTGGGAAAAATTTATCTTACTAAAATACAGAAAACAAATCTTAAGTGTAAAAATTCCTTTTTCATATTTTATTAGCAATTTTTTTCCTAAATCTGTTTGGGTCTGCATTTTTATTATAAATGTACCTTTGTGCAAACTATTTTTTGTGACAGACCATGACCAGGAATTTCAAGAACTTTTAAATCATGTTTTTAAATTTAATGCTTTTACTTTTTCAAACAACTTAAGATTTGTGAAATTTAATAAAAACAAAGATATGAACTGAATTGTAAACTTCAAAAGCAAAGATTATTGATAAAATAATATCAGAGATAGAAATGAACATTGAAATATTCATCAGCTGTGAACTGCTGTTATCAGATGGAATTAAAAAAAAATAATATAAAAAGTTTAGGAATATGATTAATTATTTAAACAACAAAACTGCAAATGAACAAGATAGGAAATAATGATTAGATAAGAAAGCCTGAAACTTTACTGATTCACAGAAAGAAATTATTAGGCATCTTATCGCTCACAATGTGAAATTCAATAATAAACCTTTGAAACCAAATCTAACTGCGAGAGAAAGAGCTACAATGTGCGAAATTCATTCTAACCCGGATATTATCATTTCAAAGGCTGATAAAGGTGGCCAGATAGTCATCATGGATGTCACTTACATCGATGGTGTCACTAAACTCTTAAACGAAGGACCATATAATCCGATCCCTAAAGATCCTTCACCTTCGGCCTTGTCAAAAATAAAAACTGCAATCAAATCTTCGCAAATCATTTCAAGCAACTTAAAACATTCGCTTATCCCATCTGTTGTGAATTGTGCCAGATTATATGCTCTTTCCAAAAGTCATAAAAGTGGTATTCCTTTCAGCCCTATTGTATCAAATTTAGGTACTGCCTCGTATTCATTAGCTAAATATTTAGTTTCTAGATTTTCAACTCTATTAGACAATAACATTTACACCATAAAAAATTCAATAGAGTTTGTAAAAAAGGTTAAAAACATTTCTCCTAGTAATTTACTCATGGTTTCTTTTGATGTAAAATCATTATTCACCAATGTCCCAGTGGAGGGTGCATTAAGATGTCTAGAAACCAGACTTCACGAATTTCATTTCTCTTGCATCGAAATTGATGAGCTAATTTCTCACTCAACTCTGTTTGAAACAAACACATTTTGTTTTCCAAAATAAATATTACAAGCAAACTGAGGGATTAGCCATGGGAAGCCCCCTCAGTCCAATCCTGGCTGATATCTACATGCATTATTATGAATCAAAATTGTTTGAAAATTTAAACTTCCCGGCATGGTTCCGCTACGTAGACGATACTTTTACCCTGTTTGAAGGTAATAAAGATGATTTAAATAAAGTTCTTTCAACAATGAATTCTATTGATCCTGCTATTCAGTTCACTTTTGAACTTGAGACTTGCAATTCTCTTCCGTTTGTCGACATTCTGGTCACACGTAACACATCCAACTTCAGTACTACGGTTTACCATAAACCTTCATTGGTTTGCCTTCCACCACACTTTAAATCATGTCATCCGACTAAACAAAAGTTAGCTTCATTTTATTCCTATGTTTTCCGTGCTCTTCAAGTTTGCTCCTCCAAACTAGCCCTTGATGAAGAACTAAATTATTTAAAAGCAATAGCTATTGACAGGGGCTTTTCATCCAACATTATTAATCAAGCAGTTAAAAAATTCTCATCTCAACACACTAAAAGGCACACTCTTGTTTTAGGAGATTATAAAAATTCTGTTGTCATTCCCTTCTTTCCATCAATTAGCTATAAAGCTGCACATATTTTGCAGAAATTTAACTTTCTGGTTGTTTATTCTCCCATCAATAAAATTCCGAGTTCCATAGTCAAGGACCCCATTCCGGATATGAATTCCTGGGGTATTTATATGATTCCTTGCCAGTGTGATTTAATCATAGACTCCAACCTTCAGCAAACCTTGTCAGTAGTCAACGCGCGAACGACATTTTTACAACTTTGAAAATGTGCGCGTAGCGTATGTTGTAATTAACCATTCATTAATTTTAAATTAATAATTAATTGTAATCAATTTTATTACATTTAAAATCCATATACATATAAAACTGAATAATTAAAAATATACCTTGTAAATTATATGCACATTTAATTAGAAATTTTCTTTTAACTCCTCAAGCATTCACTAATAAAAAGTACTTCAAATCACTACTAAACATAGAAAAAATCAGAAGCTAGAAATCATATCTTTATTCTGGATATGATTTCTACAGGGAAATAAAATTTAAATAACCAAGAATGATACATATAAGTATTAAACAAAATACGCATAATTTATGAATGCAAAGATTTATATGTAGCATGCTTAGCAAGCTTAAGTTCTGATTTTGAGAATGTTTTTTTATAACACAGTTCTTCATTTGCCTGCATATTTATTTTTTCAATCAAAACTGCTTCAAGAGTTTTAAGACCTAAATTTGGTCGAAATTCCGTCTGATTTTTTTTAACAATAGAAAAAATTCTTTCGCAAGCTGCATTTGAATGAGGTATTATTAAGACAGCAAGCATTACAAAGGCAATACTTTGTATTTAATACACCCATTCATATTTTTTAATTTGGCAATTTCTCCCCATGCTATATCAATACGTAAATCTACAATTTCTTTCAAATCATCTACTTGATACATGGAAAATTCAATTTCTACTTGATTAAGACATTTTTCATCAATAATGGATGGAAAAGTATTCATCAAGTAAAGAACAGATGAAAATGAGACTTCAGTTCTCAAGTTGATGTCAGCAACTTCAGCATGTTTTAGAAATGGATCACTCAGTGGAAATTTATCAATTATATATGAACATGCAGTTACAAAAAAAAGCTCGCACAGAATTGAAAAATGATTTCACTTCACTTTCATTCAACTTGGCATTTTTTAAATATAGTCTTGTTTCCGCACCAATCACTAAATTTTCATTTTCTTTTTGTTTACTATACTTCTGAAATCGAATAGACGTTAGAGTAACATCTTCATTTTCTTTAGAAATTACTGATGGTTTTACGAATCTAACAAATAAATTCATTAAAAGTTCAAAAAGTTCTCTTCTCAATTTATGTATATAAGGAGCTTGCTGTTGCAAATTAATATTTACTGTTATAAACAAAGGCAAAGTATTTTTCAAAAATAACAAGTACAATTTGGTGGTCGGTGACCGTAAATTTTTTTTTAATGTTTTGCAATCTCTTTCCTTCATTCTCACTGTTATCTGGTTTATCTCCAAAAAAATTTATCACAGCATCCCACTGTTCCAAAATCCTTGTTATAGATTCTAAAAGAGACAACCATCTCGTACTGCAATATTTCAAAATTTTATGAGATTTTGCATTCTGTCCCAAAATTTGCTGAGCAACTTTGAAGCTATGCTTCAGTTTCGAACTTTTCTCCAAGTAAAAATATATATCTATTATCAACATTTCAATTTCTGAGCCAATTAATTTTTCAGCAGCTTTTTTTGCAGCTATATGCAAGAGGTGGCACGGACAACCTCGGGTGATTATACTTGGTTGATGCATTTTGATAAATGATGCTACACCTTTACACTTTCCAATCATATTACTAGCATTATCTGAAGAAAATGATAAGCAATTTTTCCATTCTAAACCTTTGTTTTTAAAGTTTTCATTTATACAATTAAAAATACCTTCTCCTGTATTATTCGTGCATTCTAAAATAGAAATCAATGAAGAAATTATCACTCCCTTTTCTTTACTGTAGTATGTTATAACCAATGGGTACAGTTTGTTATCATTGTTATCGTTACTTCCATCAGTACTTAGAGAAAATGATGTACTGCACACTGATTTTATAATATCAGCAACAGTATTTTCTGCAAGCGTTTTCACAATAGCAGCAGTTTTGGTATGACCGCAGCTAAATTTTTTTGCTATGGCAGAATCCGGAAACATTGCTTTGAAAAGCTCTTTGGAATGATCCGAAACAGAAAGCGGTAGATTATGTTCAATTAAAAAACGAACAAAATAGCATTCGGCTTTTATAGGATCTGTTTCATCATCTTTTATTAAGAAATTTGTTATTTCTTTAGATTTTACGGTGCCAAGTTCTATATGCTTTTGAGAAAACACATGCCGTTTACAGTCATCTTTTCCGCCATGAGCAACTGAGAAGTCTTTGTTGCATACACTGCAGTGTGCGTGATTCACAGAAATTTCGGACGCTTTAATGCATGGAAATTCTGAAGAATATGAATCTTTAAACTTCTGCTTTGATAATTTTGGCTTCTTCGTTCGAGGCAGCATTATGATTAAAAATCTTTCACCTGATTCACAGTTCACAAGACACACGCTAAGCTCTCGCCGTAAACTACACAATGCAGCCGAATGCAGCCTAAACACGCATCAGCGAGGAACCTGGGAGACAGACAATTGGGTGGAACTATTGATAAGTCGTTAACGGTTGGAGTTACTGATCTACGATTGGCTAATTCTTCAAAACTAGGAACGCACTCAACACGTGATATATGATAACACGAGTATTCAGCCAATCATCAGATGAATTAGTTGGTTCCGTTTTGCATACTGGTTCTCCTGCTCTTGTTTCTGTAAAATCCGTAGTTTTTTCCATACTTTTCGTAGCTCGTAGTTTTTCATGAATTTCCGTAGAAACTACGTAGAATCCGTAGTAGTTGGAGTCTATGTTTAATTTACATTGGCCAAACTAAGAGAGCCTTAAAATTTCGCGTCAAGGAACATGAGGCATATGTTAGAAAAAAGGAAACACAGAAGTCTTCTGTTGCTCAACATTGTTGGTCCGAAAATCA